TGTTCTTGTCCTCTTTAGTCCGGATGACATTTTCCAAAAATGAACTTCAAATTTTGATTCGTCTGACCACAGAACGGTTTTCCACTTTGCCACAGTCCATTTTAAATTAGCCTTGGCCCAGAGAAAACGCCTGCGCTTCTGGATCATGTTTAGATATGGCTTCTTTTTTGACCTATAGAGTTTTAGCCGGCAACGGCGAATGGCACGGTGGATTGTGTTCACCGACAATGTTTTCTGAAAGTATTCCTGAGCACATGTTGTGATTTCCATTACAGTAGCATTCCTGTATGTGATGCAGTGCCGTCTAAGGGCCCGAAGATCACGGGCATCCAGTATGGTTTTCCGGCCTTGACCCTTACGCACAGAGATTGTTCCGCAGCATTGGGGGAATTGGTGATCTTCTGCCCATCTTGACTTCTGAGAGACACTGCCACTCTGAGAGGCTCTTTTTGACCTAATAAGTTGCAAATTGGTCCTCCAGCTGTTCCTTATATGTACATTTAACTTTTCCGGCCTCTTATTGCTACCTGTCCCAAATTTTTTGGAATGTGTACCTCTCATGAAATCCAAAATGAGCCAATATTTGGCATGACATTTCAAAATGTCTCACTTTCAACATTTGATATGTTATCTATATTCTATTGTGAATAAAATATAAGTTTATGAGATTTGTAAATTATTCCATTCCTTTTTTACTCACAATTTGTACAGTGTCCCAACTTTTTTGGAATTGGGTTTGTAGTAATAATGACAACTAACCTTTGGCATTCAAGGATGAGTTTAACTTGCCAAACTGCCATGCTAAAGTTTGGTTCACCTCAAAGCACAGGGCCTAAATTTACTTTTTGCCCTCATCAAAATGCAGCAGTTAGTCTTTCACAGTTCCCCACTAAACAGAATAGGTGAACCCATTTATCACTTATGTGAAAACAAATCGTCTGACATTATAAGACTTTCTCAGCACTGTTACATAATGAAAGACAAAAACAGGATGAAACGTTTAGCATGTTCTAGACATTATGCAAATTTGTGTTTGTTTCTTTCTAAACTTTTATCTAAACCAGGTCACTAAAACCCAAATGCAGGCAACTGTACACAGTCAGTACTTCTCACTGTACTGCAACAAATAAATGATACCCTAGTCTAATGAATAAGTTAAAGCTTGATTATGCTGTGGAGCGGGGTGAAATGGGACACTTTTTACATCTGATCCTTTGCCAGGGAATGCATCGTACCATGAAGCAGCAACAGGCAGAGCGGTACCGACCTCACCCAAAAGAAAGACTCACTGGACGGAGACCATTCAGAATGAGTTCTCCTGGGATTCCTAAGTTCAACTGCTATATAAAAATGGGAGAGAAAACAAGCCTGTGAAGGACAGGAGATCCCAAGAGGGTTTACCTAATTTTCCATTTCAGAGCTTTCTTGCTGGAAAGGATCCTTCATGTGCAAATGAGACTGGACATAAGCGGGACAGGCTCAGCACAGAACTGCTCTACAGAGGGTCCATCAACCCTTGTGAGAGTTACAGTGAGACCGAGTCCTCTGATGAGCAACGATCCAGCACTTCTTTAAGTCGTGAGGAAACCTTTCAGGCTGGGCTATATGGCAAATCAGCCAGCTCCCTAGGGATGTGGAGAGCAGGCTGAGAGGTGCCCACACAGGAAGACTAGGAGACCCACACAGAGAAAGGAGCTGAGGAAACAAAGAGATAATTTGAGAAAAAAGGAGTGAGTAGCACCTCTAACAGGAAGAGGGTGCAGTTGAACACCACCAGCTTAGGTGGAAATGGATAGCTGCCACTAAGAAAGAGAGCTGTGGATGTGTAACAACTCTTAATCAGGTATAACAACACAATCTTGCAGTAATTCACAACAATTTTACGGTTTGGCAAATTGGTGGCAAATTCATATGAATTCCTACAACGTCATTTGTTTGTTAAAATGAGTGAGTGGTTCTCACTAAAAATGAGTTACAGTATACTGTTCTTAAAACAATGCTAAATAGCCAACATAAATATAGTATATACTGTATATGAAATGGTAAGCCTATAATTAGTTTTTTTAATTAAAGGGGTCACATGATGCTTTTTTAAAGATCATTATTTTGTGTATTTGGTGTAACAGAATATGTTGACATGCTTTAATGTTCAAAAAACACATAATTTTTCAAATACTGTACATTATTGTAGGTCCTCTGTGCCCCGCCTCTCTCAAACGCTTTGTTTTCTACAAAGTCCCTCCTTCCGACAAGCGCAGTCTGCTCTGATTGGCCAGCTGACCCAGTGCATTGTGATTGGCTGAACACCACAAGCACTCGTCGGAAATGTAATGCCCCTTACCATAATCGCGAGCTTCATCTTTCAAAATAAATGTAAAGACAGAGCCCGAAAGGGGAACAGAGTCGCGTGACAGACACAGTGATGAAGCTGGTATGTCTCGCTCGCTCGCTCGCGCACACACACACATGATGCGCAAAACTCTGCATTTGAACAGTCAAAAGTAAATACTTAAACTAATAACAAAACAGTAGCTGATTCAGAAGCGCCAGATTGTCATAGCAAAGTCAGAATTACCTCCTCTCCTAGCTTCACGAAAGGGTCGTCCATAAAATGCATTGCTGTTCTGTTGTAAGTGATCTTAAAGATTCCTAAATGCATCTACTTTCGGAAGGCCAAATAAAGTGCTTTTATAAATAAAGAAACACACAGCGTCTCCCTGACATGACTGCATCAACACTAACTGCGGTTACTGAAACCACGCCTTCTTTCTTTGCATGCACATTTGGGTGGCATTATGCTAATATTTCCACATAGTGAGGTAGATATGTGGGGGCGTGTTAGAACGAGCTGTTTTAGGGGGGCGTGCCAGAGTCTTAACTTTGATAAAGAATATCTCTTTGGTTTTGAGACTTTAGTCTTTGCAACTTCAGGGATATTATCTATGCACAATCAGCTTGTAACACTCCAAAGAGAAAGGAAAACTTGAAATCGCATCATATGACCCCTTTAATATATTTAGGCTTGCAAAACATTTAATATCAGTTTTTTTGTGTATAGTGCAAAAGGCTTAATCATTTTGCAAATAATTGTGAATACTGTTGGGCCTATGCAGTTTATGATGATATTAATATTAATCAATTTAATTAATATAAATTTCACTGCTGAGATTTAAAAACATCTTATACTTTTGTATGATAAGCAATTTTGGCATTTGGTTGGGGTGCCAAAATCCTGGAGCAAAACTGGTTGAGAACCAATGGTATTAATAATGTTTCTGAAACATACTGTCATAATATAGTGTAGGTTTCTTTACTGAAATAATAAAATAAATATAAATTACAATATGAAATTTATAGTAAAAAGCCTCCATTATATATAGCCTTAGTACAGTATCAGCAAAACAAGATTATTATTTCCCTTTTAAAACGTTATATAAACATTATTATTGTTTCCCTGCTTAAAACACAGTGTTTCTAGGAACTGTTACAGGTAAAAATTAACCACTGTTTGAGCTGGCTTTAGACATACATATAAAGTGGCTCTAAATCCATTATTCACAACTTTTCTAGAAGCATTACATAAACATCACACCACCTTTTGTCGAGGGATTATGAGACTGTTGGCATAAAGCATTTTTTCCGGCTGGTGGAGTGTTCCTCCCATTAATGTGCTCTGTTTTGTGGTACACCTGTTGAACAGCCTCAGGGAAAATCCATACCGTGACTATTATCATGGTCACTGTCTGTGTCAGTCTACACAAATATGACACGTGGCCATTAGTCCTTGTAAATGTATTACACTGATCCCAG